GTTCATACAAAAGAAATTTAAAAGCTGGAAGTGTCTTGTATTTGTAACACAAAAGGATATGGATAAACATATGATTGCCATCTTAACAGGTTCGTGCATATGCTGTCAGTGTTCTTGAAAGAGCCGATGATGAAGAGCTCCAGTGTTACTTGCTTCAACTGGTTCAGGCTCTTAGATTTGAACGATCTGATAAATCTCGACTTTCTCATTTCCTTGTGCAGCGTGGTATGTCAAGGCTTGTGTACATTCTAGTGCATTTATGCTTATGCATTCCAGTGCCAATGTTATCTTTTATTGTATCATGCTCAAAACTCTTTTTAACTTGGCAGCACTGTGCAATATTGAGTTGGCTAGCTTCCTCCGCTGGTATGTTGCTGTCGAGCTTCATGATCCTGCATATGCAAAACGTTTCTACTGTACCTATGAGATCCTGGAAGAAAATATGATGAAGGTGCATTATAATTGTCTCATGAAGTACAGTTATAAGTATGGAATATGCAAAGATGCTAGTTAATGAATAAAAAATTGCATCATATTGGTGTGAGTTTGATAAAATCATGCTTGAATTTGTATCACACGAGCAAATAATTTTTTCCATTTGAGCGTACTGATGATAGAGAAATGGTTCCATGGCAGTGAAATTTTTTTTATTATGCATAATGCACTTAATTAAATCGGCTTATGGCAGTTGACTGCTGGTGTCAATGGAGATGAAGATGGTTTTAAGCTATGGCAGGGTTTGGTTCGTCAAACAGAACTTACTGCTCAGTTGTGTTCAATAATGAGGGATGTACGTAATGTGCGTGGCAATACCCAAAAAAAGATCGAGAAGCTCCGGCAGCTGCTTTCTGGTCTTCTGAGCGAACTAACTTACTTTGAAGAGGTACACCTATAGAATAGATGTTGCATACTGTTGATCTTAGGATCAAGGTCAACCTACAGAGCCTTGTTTGTATATTTTGATACAAAATTTTCATTTCTAAGATAGTTACTGTAATCCTTTTTCCGTATGTATTGGGTTGTTTTTATTATTAAATTTGTGGGCATTTCTTATTGCCAGCCCATACGATCACCACTGTCTCCGGGTGTGCTCATTATTGGGATTGTGCCAGCAGAATCATCAATATTTAAAAGTGCATTACATCCTTTGCGTCTTACTTTTCGAACAGAAAATGGTGAAAGTTGCAAAGTCATTTTCAAGAAAGGAGATGATATTAGACAAGACCAATTGGTAAATCTAGACCAGCTCCCTCCTCACACTCCTGGCTCTTGCAAACCTTAAAATCGTCATCGTGAGTTTGTGGTCTGTAGGTCGTTCAAATGGTTTGGCTCATGGATCGGTTGCTAAAACTGGAAAATCTTGACCTTCACTTGACTCCTTATAAAGTTTTGGCCACTGGACAAGATGAAGGCATGTTGGAGTTCATACCATCTCGATCTTTGGCACAGGTATTGTATACCTGTAACTCAAAATGCATTTCTTTTTTCATAATTTTCTAAGACGAGATATTTATAGTCTTTTGAAGGAAACTAGAAAATAAAAACACCAACCTTATTCTGAAAATTTTCTTAATGTTTGTATAACATTGCAAGGTTGCAACGATATAGCCATGATGACTGAGGCTTCTCTTAATATTGGCAAAAAGAAATATTTTCTTTCTTTTAATCTGATCCTTGGTAGTTCTTTTAGGTTAACTTCTTGCCATTTGTACGGTTCTGTAATTGGTAGAATAAGATGTATTTTTCTGTGTCTAGATCCTTTCAGAACATCGCAGCATTATAAGCTATCTGCAGAAGTTTCATCCTGATGAGCATGGGCCCTTTGGAATCACAGCTACCTGTCTTGAAACATTTATAAAAAGTTGTGCTGGATATTCTGTCATTACGTACATATTGGGCATTGGAGATAGGTGGGTGGTTATTCTTGAACTTTGTGGCTCTATAGCCAACATCCAAGAGCTTATAATCTTTTTGCTTTATATTTGAGTGTTCTGGATAAGGAAGAGAACTGAGAATTTTGATTTTTCTCCAAATTGCTGAAAATAATTTGACTTTTTTATCTTTGGACTGAAGAGAATGGCAAATATAACTATATAAGAATGTTACCTCCGGAATGAGCCTGTGTAATGCCGTACATTTAGTTGTGAATATAAGAATATTATCATGCATATGGTCCTATGTTCAACTTCTGTTGTGCACTGTTGCACTTACATGAATCAGCACAGGCATGTATGTGCAAACTTGTATAATCCTTGATCTTAGCCCAAAGCTGTCATTGAATAGTAAGATCTTAAACGTAAAAAAAATTTCAGGTGACGTCCTATGTGGAAGAGAGTTAGGGAATCAAACTATTTAAACTGTTTATCTGTTTGTCTGTTTTAGTTTTGGTAATTTGATTTATGATTATTTCTCATTAAAAAGAATGATGCATCAAGATTTTAAACTCCAATATACGTGGTGTGTTTGATGATTGGGACCCCGATCTCCAGGGTGGCATTCTGATGACACTGATCTTGGTGTTCTGCAGGCACCTGGACAATCTTCTCTTAAGGGATGACGGGCGTCTGTTTCACGTTGATTTTGGGTTTATCCTCGGCAGAGATCCCAAGCCATTTCCACCTCCCATGAAGCTGTGCAAGGAGATGGTTGAGGCTATGGGTGGGGCTGAAAGGTACAGGAATGTGTAGATTTTATATTTTATTAATTTGTGGAACTTGTATTTTGTAATAGGATGCTTTTAATTTAAAACCATGTATATGAGAAACTAATTTCTGATCATTTCTTCCTAATTCAGCCAATACTATACAAGGTTCAAATCGTATTGTTGCGAAGCATACAACATCCTACGAAAGTCGAGTAATCTTATCTTAAACTTATTTCACCTGATGGCGGGTTCCAATATTCCGGACATTGCTTCCGACCCTGAAAAGGGCATTCTTAAGGTGACTATGGTTTGGACTCTCCTGTACTATGGTATTATATTCTTGTTCTGACCGAACAGTTGTTGGTGGCACAGCTTCAGGAGAAATTTCGGCTGGATTTGGACGATGAAGCCTGTATACATTTCTTCCAAGATCTTATTAACGAAAGCGTTAGTGCGCTATTTCCTCAAATGGTTGAAACGATTCATCGCTGGGCGCAATACTGGCGCTGAACGCACCGACGACATACGCACACAGGTACTAGTATTAGGGCTTCTTAGTTGTTACAAGTTCTCCGACCTTATTCTAATGTATTCATCCTCTCCTTCCCCCCAATATCAGTCAGAAAATGGTAGATGTTTTATGACACTGTAAAAAGTTCAAATAGAAAGAAAAGGGTTAATGATTCCAAACAACTTCTTTTATTGCCTAACATTTAGGTTTACATCTCATTTTGGTCTGACAATGGATGACATCTGCAACCGATTAGAAAACATAGGTTTTTTAGAAAGTGGTTAAAAAATAATACGGCCTTGGTAAAAGGGCTATTCAGCCCAAAATCAACCAAATCATTCTATTTGAATTCCTAAAAATTTCATTATTAAATTTTAGTTACTATCATCTTGGCAAGAATATTTATTTAAAATTACTACCCATAAGTTGCTGCCTTTTCCTTGAATTGTACACAGTCTTCACTTTATCACAAGTAATCAAGTACCAACTACCATTAGCTCTCTCAACTTAGAACCAAAGTGTGAGGTGTCGTTGTAAGTTAATTAACGATTTTAGTTTCAATGATGTAATACATATATTCATCAATGATCTTTTCTTAGTTACTATTTTGTGATTAAATTTAAAATAACATTTTAGTAGTTAATTTAATTTTATTGTTTTTTTTAAATTATCTCGAGTTTAATTGTAACAATCTTCTTGAATCAAAAGTTGAGTGAACTAACAAAAATTCAAAGGTTCTATTATAACCACTCAAAGGATTGATGTATTTTTTAGTTTGTTATTAAGAAATTATAAATTTGTGAGGTTAATTGCCTCAATTGAAAGTCTAATTATGTTATTGTAACACTCAATTGAAAGTCTAATTATGTTATTGTAACAACTCCTATAATTTATACAATGTGTTTTTTTTTATATTACTTTTCTTAGCAGAAACTGTACTAATGTACATTTGCCATAGGCATAAAACTAAATAAGTCAAGTCAACTAAATGCAGTTTGGTTTAACACTTTTGGATTCTAAATTTCTAAGTTCGAAGTAAAATATCTTAGTCGTTGAGTTAAGTTAATGTTGGCCAAAAATCTACAATTGTATTGTAAAAAAAAAGGTTGAATTTGGTTCAATGGATGATTTTCTTATTGGTTGTTAACATTTTTATACTACATGAATGTCATAGTCAAGAATATTTCAATACTATTTCAATTTAATCCTATTGTTTAAAAAGTTTCAAATTAGACATTTTTGTTATAATTTTTTTCAATTATATCATTAACTTTATTGATGATAAATTTACATACCACGATTCTTTGTGAGTTGTCATAAATTTAGATAAGAAATTTAGCCTACGAAATAGAGAAAGTTTGTGATTTCTCTAAATTTCTAATAAGTTGAAGAAATATAGGTTCTTCTTTTGGTGACACAATTCCTCTACAAAATTTTTTTCCCAACTCTTTTAATATTATGTAGTGTAACCTTATCATCAAATAATTTAAAATTAACCAATAAAAATATAATTTAAAAATATTTAAACATAAAAGACTAATGGAAAAAACAACTGAACAATAAAAACTAAAACATATATTTAGCCATATTAATTATTATTATAATCATTTTCTCCTCCCACAGTGCACACTACGACTTGGCAGCCATTAATTGGAAGGACAGCGCAACCCCGAATTTTGACGTTTCAGACATTCAGTAGTTTTGACATTTTCGCTATTTCACCGTTGGATGACGTGGCTGATTATGATTGGTAGAAATACGGAACTGCAGACTTAAGATGCAAGTTCGACTTAGGGGTAGTATTGTATTTCCACCCCACTTCGATCGCTTCTTTATTAGGCCATCTTAGCAATATTCTTCCTCCAGCGCCATATTACGCGTTGCTCTGAAGCTCGCTCTCTCCATCTCTCTGAATAGACCTCTGACCTCTCTGTGAAGCTCTCAGAGGTAATTCCAATCTCCTGAATCTCGATCTGCTTTCATTCTTTTTTATTTACACTTCTTTTCAACATATCAATGAATTCGTTCCATTCTTATGTTTCTATCTCTCTCTGCTGTTGATTATATGTCTGAGTTTAGGTACTTCTTATATGTCGCCTATGTTCGTCTGATAATTAAATCGTTCATTTTTCAAGAATTTTGCCGATTTTAGTTTCTCTTTACGGATTTCTGATCGATTTTGCACTTCTTCACCTATTTGGCTAATATACGATTCCGATCTGTTCTTTCCGGGACTTTATTATTTGTTTTATCGTAGATCTTGCTATTTGAATTTTAGTTATTTATAGGTACTCTATGAACTAAGCGGTGGTTCTGATAAGCAGGATAGCGATCTCATTCTTTCATCTCGCATTATATCATTCATTAGCTTACCTTCTTTTCCGTGCAATTGAATGCATGGTATCTTTGCTGGATTTCCTATGCTGGCGCTTTTGTCAGGATAATTAGCCTTTTCTTTTTAAATCACTAATGTTCTAAATAATTTCAGCGTTCCGATTCGTAATCATTGACATTTCTCCTTGTGAGTAAAATATTTTTTGTGTCGAAAATGCAGGAGATTCTACGTTAGGAACAGAAATGGGGCTGACTTTTGCAAAGCTTTTTAGTCGGCTTTTTGCCAAAAAGGAGATGAGAATTCTGATGGTTGGTCTTGATGCTGCTGGTAAGACGACCATTCTCTATAAACTCAAGCTTGGAGAGATCGTCACAACTATTCCTACCATCGGTAAGCTCTTTACTCCTCGTTTTGTTTTCCTTTTGTGTGTCATTCTGTTTTACGCTACTTTATAGATGTTTAATCATTTCAGAGGAGTTACTAATCTTATAATTATAAGTATACCATCATCAATGTGGTTGGGTTCCATGACATCGACATTTGACATCGTAATTGATTTTTATTTTTATTTGAAGGATTTAACGTGGAGACTGTGGAATATAAGAACATCAGCTTCACTGTATGGGATGTCGGTGGTCAGGACAAGGTATGAATTGGGAAATCTCTTTTTCATAATTTGTTTGCTGGGGATAAACTTCTGAGTGCATTTTTCTATTTATAATCGACTCATGGATGATTGACGTTTTTGCATAGCCAATTAAGGACATTTATCTTTCCACAGATTCGTCCATTGTGGAGGCACTACTTCCAAAACACTCAAGGTCTTATATTTGTTGTGGACAGTAACGACAGAGACCGTGTTGTTGAGGCAAGGGATGAATTGCATAGAATGCTGAATGAGGTGTGCTAAATATATATCCCATCCTTCGTAAACTTCATTTGTAGGGATCTATAGATTTCATGCTCTATACTCTGTCAATAGAGTTATCATGTTTAGCGTCTGAATATGACAATTTCAACTTTAAGGATTGAAGCCCTTAATCAAAGATTGTATGGTGGTCGATTTTCTTTTCTGCACTGAGATCGGTATATTTACATGTAGGATATTCAATTCATTGAATCCAAGTATTCAGTCCTATACGAGAAGTTGCTTGGTGGACAGATTTGATGATATTTTAGTATGGCATGCCACATATATAAAATTAGTTTCTTTATATCCAATGAACACCAAACAAGGATGAACTATTAATCATTTGGAGATTTATTATATTTCTATGTAACTTGTACTTTTTTGTCTTGTTTTTTCTCTCTCTAATATCCTACGGATGAAATACAAAATGACTTTTCAAAACCTTATATTGGGAGTTAAATTGGCAAGTATTTTCATTTGTCAATATTTTGTTCAAAGGTCAAAATTACGAGCTGCCTATAAACTAAGCACGACATCGGTTTAGAACTATGCCTAGTACCTAACAAGGGTTAGGCATGGCTTTGTTATTATCAGTACATATTTTTGGAAATTTTATGGTAACTAGTACTTGACATTTGTCGGTAATTGATTAAAGTAACTAATATTTCATGCAATTATTACAATTTTGACCCCCACCCCATTGCCACTCAGATCAATGATGGTAATAAGATATTGAACTGAGTAACAGCATCTTTTTATTTCTCCTGATTATTCATTTTACCCGGTTGCTTCTTAATTCTAATTGTAGTCAATTATTTTCTTGGGTATTGCAACTGAAGATTTTTATTCGCTTACTTCAGGACGAGCTTCGAGATGCAGTATTACTTGTGTTTGCTAACAAACAAGATCTCCCCAATGCAATGAATGCTGCTGAGATTACTGATAAGCTTGGTCTTCACTCTCTTCGGCAGCGCCATTGGTAATCCTTGTGTATCCATTGACATTTTTATTTCATACATACTGTTTTTAAATATGATGAACATATGTGGCCTTTATTACAGGTATATCCAGAGCACTTGTGCAACCTCTGGGGAAGGGCTTTACGAGGGATTGGATTGGCTCTCAAACAACATTGCTAACAAGGTATTTGCTATTTCCTTGGGATACTCTTTCTGTTCAGAATACACACAGTACAAAACCAGCCTAGTACCCATTTTGTAAACACCGTCAGAGGCAACTAAAGGTTAACATGAAGCTTTAGGCAAAAGTTGTAACTAGGCCTAATCTTTTCCAACCCAAAATTTCTACAGTTTTTAGTTTTCTAATTTTAAAGAAATTTAGTTACATTCTTTGATATGTCTTTCACCACATTTAAATTCTTAGCCACATTTTTAAACGTAGAAATAAACTGTTAAAACTTACTTTGTTTAGTATTTTAAAATATAGCTCAGATTTTGAAAATATTTATAAAATAATGGAACACCGATGTGGACATGGAAGTAGAATGTTTATAAGTTTTATTTTTCAAATAGAAAACAAAAAATAAAATGATAAGTCAAATGAGGTTGATAATCATATATATATATTTTTTGTGTAGTAAATCAAAATGTAGGGGTGAAATTTTCGAATACACGATCTTTTGCTTGAGGATATACGGCTATGTTCAAGTTGTCTAATTTTGATTGCATTATTATAGTTAAATTTATCCATATTTATTCTGGTCTTATTATCATACCTTTATCAATTTTAACAAGTGTCTTTATTAGGGTCAATTTTTTTTTTTTAATATTGACTTGGAAGCAAGCAGATTTTTTCCCCTAAAGCTTCTTCATATTCAGATTTCTTTTTACATAGGCATAATTTTAGTTTAGAAGATTGTTACAAATAAATAGACACAATATTATTTTTTGTAAAGAAAGTGCTATACTGCTAAAAAGCGAAAAAAAGATGCTAAAAACTAGAAACTTAGAGCCATCAAATCACCATAAATTTATAAACATTACAATCTTACTCAAATTTTAGATTTTATGATTATTGGTGAATTGTTAATATAGCAAAAAAGAAAAACTACAATAAAAGGAAAAGTTTTTTTTTTTTTTTTAACTCGAAAGGAAATGGTGAAAAGCTAAATTTTGAGAATTTTTTCATATCCACACACAATCGAGAGTAAAAAAAAAAAAAAATCATGATAGATGTGGGTGCATTATAGATGACCGTTTTTTTTAAGAGAATTTCAAAAGTTTTTTAGAATTTTAGCACAATCAAATAATGGAAAAATCATAATAGAAGTGCGAGTGGGACCTCTCTAAAATGCAGTTTTTTTAAAATATAAAATGCAGTAACTATAATTTGAATTTAGCCAATTTTGTCCGAATTTTAATTTCCAACCCACATGTTGATATATGTTAAAAAAAAAACCCCATTTTTTAAGATAAATATAAATGTTTATATTGAAATTATTTGTTGAAGAAATACAGGTAACATTAGCTTAAAATTTAACACATAATAACAAATTTTAATATACTATTATTTCATATCTTAAATTTATATATATACTTTTTTTTTAATTCATATTTTAAATGTATAATTATAATATGAATTAAATAAATAATAACAGATTAACAGAATAAAATAGAACATATCTGACATGGTTAGACTTCAGATTAAGTTGAATTCTGGGAGGTGGTTGATTTACTCACTTGTTCTATGCAGGCATAAAAGCAGTTGAGAGTTGTCTTGTAGACTGGCGATTCTGGATGCAGGGGTGAATGTTATCTACTTTTTCTTGTTTTTCGGGGAATAGTCTCTCATGCCTTTTCTTTAGGATTGATCTTCCATAGTATCAGTCTGTCTATGGTTATATATTGTAATGGTTGTTCGTGTACTCCAACTCACCTGGGCTTTTGTGTGTTTAATGAGATGGTGTAATTCAAACTTATCCCGTCACGTCACTTTCTCTTCTTAAATTCGTTTTAATCACGTTCTTTTGGTTTTGGCAACATTCACTTTGAATCAATACAAACGCGATAACAAAATTTCTACTTACAACTCCATTGGATCAAATCCATCTTCATCACATTCATCGTCCACAAACTGTAGTTGGTGGCGACCATCTCCAAACAAGAGAGGGGCAACTTCTTTTGTTCCTTTTGGCCTTCCGTCATTCACCTCAATGACTGAAATTATCCTTTCCTTAATATTTTCTTCAACAATTTCCCCTTCTGATTGTTGAGGTTGCAAGCCAAGAATTGCAAGGCATTCTTCTTGGAAATCCAAGTCATTGGAGTATAAAACTAGGCCAGCAATCGTTTTGGCAAGATCAGGGGCAAACCTACTGATCTGAAGATGAATAATACAGGCAAGTTCAGGAAGCTGTCAACTTCACTTGATTCCTACGAGAAGCCTAAACAGTTTCATGAATAATATGTAAATACCCTGAACATGGAAACCTAAAATTATAAGAAAGCAAGCTCTAATCCTTTTTCTCTTTTTGTGAGATAGGATGACATGAGTGTGATTAATTTGATCCAACTTCAATGGCAAATACCAAATATGTTCTTTTTGTTTTTAAAAACCAGAAGAAACAAGCAAAAACAAAAAATACCAAGATACGATTTTAGAAAAAGTTATATTTAATTGCTGCAAACAATTACACATACAAAAGAAACTACATTGTATTGCTAGCATTTCCAAAAGAATTCACTATAGTCAAAAATTGGTTACCAAACCTGAAAGCTTAGCAGAATTCTTCACTAAACTGTGTTTGGCTTCGTGACTGTGTGGGATAATAAAAAATGCGTGATGGAAGAATTTTTTTATTGTTTGCCACAAAAAAGGACTTCCATTTTGAAACTTAGAACTTAATGATCAATTTAGTCTGTGCACCCGAGACTGTGAAACATACGTTTACCTTCAGGGTATTGGCACTGAGAAGAAATCCCGCATATTTATTCTTCAAATCGTCCAGTGCAAGCTTAACTGCTTTACTTATGAGTTTTTTATCAAACTGAGTCTTCTGCACCAATGGCATGACCTCGGCCACAAGCTAAGGCAGAAAACTAACTTTACATACCATAGAAAATAAAGATCACAATAATCATTGTTAACCTTTAAACATAAGATCTAATGAATAATATACCTTCTGGTAGCAGTGGACAACAATATGAATATGAAAAGATAGGGGCACGTGTTCCCACTTTAGTAATGCATGGCTTCTTTGATTGGTAGCACTTTCCAAAGACAAACCATAACGTTTCCAGTCAATGCCTCTTAATGCCTTTAGAAATGCCTCAGAGATCGAGCAAGGTGCAAAATCTTTAAAACAAAAAACCTGCGGAATCATGTGACATAGTAAAAGCTAAGGCAAAGTTGCGATCACCAAGAGAAAAGGAAGACTAATAAAAATAAGTTCCTGAAACAGATAGCACTCTTTGATTGTAGTACAGAGATGTGGTCTGAATGCTTCGGAATATAGTTCGTATTTGGAAAACTTGCTTGCTACTTTCTGGAACGGAAAGAACAGGAAGGAACCGAATGATAATACTTAATATGTCAAACAACCTCTGTATCGGAGAACCGTGCTCCCAAGCAATTAGTGGTCGGATTTGATAATTCACTTATCACAATCGCTGCCTCCACTGCCAGTGTGGTCGTTTTACGCTTTTCTTCACAAATCATTCCACCCCCACTCTTCAGATTATCCCTAAAGTTCGAAATTAAAGAAGTATATATATAATGCGCATCAAAGGCAAGTTCAGCAATTAATTATTAAAATCTGAGTGCGAAATTGGGAAAGCTTCACTTAATCCAGGAAAAATGTGGAACAAACTTGCTTTATATCTCATCAGGAAATTATTTCTTCTTTTTACAATAACCTAAAAACAAAGGAAGTTGAGTCTAAAAACTGAGTTTGCATGAATTAAGGTGACAAACACACCTGTTAGGGAAGCAAGAGTCACACGTCAAACTAGATCCATGCCTTGATACATAATCCTCAAGGCCCAATTTCAGATGATCCAGGGTTGAGGCTGTGAAAGAGGAACTAGAGGACAAGTTTTCCAGGAAGACTGCATCATTTCGTGACCCTGGGATATCCTGGCACTCGACCACAACCTCCATAGCAACATTCTTATGAAATTGAAAAGCTTATGAGTTCCTTTAGTGCCAAATGCATCACCATAGTAAGGCAATTTGCAATATATATCTGTTCGTGTAGATTCTTCTCCAAAATTTAGGTTTCTAATATGAAAATTCTTGCCAAGCCATGCATGACTAAATATATAATTACATAAGAGATATTATGTTGACAAAACCAGTTCCATAAAATGCAGTTCTTTTGCGGAGTTTCATTGAAAATTTTTGTTAGCATATAATATTTGAAGCGTGGAATAGAGTAACAAGCTCCACTTACAGGGATCTTTAGAATGCGAATCTGCAAAATAAAGCGGGATAAACTTGGGTCAGATATGTAACGATGATTCAGGAAACAATCACCTTGAGAAATATAAACTACATGGTTGATTTGATACTAAAGGCTGTTCGATATCACTAGGATAAGAAATAATAAAACTTGAGAGTAAATAAATAAAGTTACAAGTCTAAAGTTACAGAGAGTAAGCAGTTTGCTCTACCCTGGACTTTCAAAAAGATCAACATTAATGGTTAATCAGGTTCATCTCAATTAGGATAATTACAAAACTGAACTTCTTACTACTGGCTCTTAATATTTTATTACCTAGAGGAGACTACGTTGCTTGTACCGAGAATACAATAGAGTATCCTAAAACCTTAATAAACTTCCATTATCTAAATCTAAAAACTATCTTTTGAATCAATGCTTCACTTTCACTTTCTATTTCGTCAAGGCCGGCCTTCAAATTCGTTTGAGTTAGAAGGTTACTGTAAAATATTAAGAGCGTGTCCGGACGTATCCGTATCCGACACGTGTCCGACACAGATACTTCTCCTTTTTTGCCGTGTCCGTGTTTTATAGACAGTAACAGTCCATGATAGGACTGAGTGGAAGACAAGAGCAGCAGTCTAGAATTACCCAAGACTCTGGAACTTGATATTTCATCTCAGGATTAATTCATTTTGTTATCTATAAGAGGCTATATGGAAGCATTGTGCATATCGTGCATATTGCCTTATTCATTTTGTGCAGACAGCAACCAAAACCTTAGTATTGTAGCAAAGGGAACAAAGAAGAGAAAGCATGACAAAAGCATTAGTCTTCATGATTGAAATATTTTGAACCAACTATCGTGTTACTTTTGTGGTTAATAACGCACAACTAATGAACATTATTTTAAGCTGTATAATAATTGAAATACAGTAAAACAGATTAGATAAGATCCAGTAAAATGTTTCACTAAGCCAAAAGTTAAGACTAGATTGAGTTCAGCGATAAATAAAGGGGGAAGGGACCTTCTGAAAGAAGCAATTGATCTCCGCTAGCAAAACATCAACAGCTTCAGAAACAGACAAACGCACTTCGGTTCCACTAAAAAAAAAAAATCCAATTACCTCCAATAAAAAAAAATTAATGAGAAGTGACCAAAAAGTACCAGTGATTCCATGCCTGAATTTCACACCATGCTTAACGTTTGAAGGTAGCCAAATTGGCTCCCTGATAGTGACATTTTCTTTCAGATTCAACTGATAGCAACTTATCTCATTATCACAAAAATCTGAAAATTCCAAAGGACGTTAGTATATGCACTAAAAAATGGTACTAGATTTAAAACAACAAAGTACAACTTGAGAGCGGAAAACAACTCAAAATGATCTAGACACTCAGTATTCCGTGAAATATTCTTCTACGGCATTCTAACTTCTTTTTATTTATTATTTGTAACGCACTAATCTTATTCTACGCCTATACTACTATGCACACTTAGCAAGTGATCTAGAAACTCAGTATTCCATGAAATCCAGAAAGGCTTAAATCACTTTGATCTTGGGCCACAAAGAGGAAGGGACCTCACATTCTATGGTGTAGCTGTTGACTCTTCCTAGGAGGTGTCGATGAAGATCTTAATTACATTATTCCCCAGGATATTAATTAAAAATAGTTTAATTTTGAGAAAATGGAACTTACTAGTAGTTCTCAAAGAAACAATTCCATCTGCATAAAATACCAGAAATGTATTAATACTCAACCTCATAACAATGGTACGGTAGTCTAATCCTACTGCAAAATATCTAAATGGCATTTCAACGTGAAGATGATATAACCGAGATAACTACAGCCAACAAATAAAAATGTAATGAAATTTGGTTTGCTGAATGCAGCTTTTAGGGAGGATGATTGCAGACTTGCTGTTTGTGGAAAGTCTCAGGTTAGCTTATTTGACTGAGAAGGAAATATAAGGAATCGTTTGTACAACGATGTATGCACGCGTTGCCTTATAGTGAGAAGGCAGCTAACCATATGAGCATATGCTCAGGAAAAGAATAAGGTAGCTACCTCTGTACATGAGCTACTGCAATGAACGTAATGCAGACGAAAAAATCAACAAAATAGTACACAAACGGTAATCAAATAACGTAGAGGAATTAATTAAAGCATTTTACTGTTTATCAAGTACTGCCAGAGAGCTAGTGGAGCAGAGTCAGCAACTCACCCCACTGTTCAGCAAGGATACCTTCAACGGGACACTTAAAATCCTGAAACTCCTCTAGGCAGCTTCCAAGGCCGGTATCTGAAACTAGATCGAAAAATTCCAGGATTTACTCTCATTAGAAGGTTTCTTTGTAACTTTTGAAGTTTCAATGCCTCATTAAAATTCTTTGAATCGAAAGTAGTTAATGAACTGACTAAGACCTAAAGTCGTCAAAATGTTTGATAAACCAAAATTGAATAGAACTAAAATGAGATAACGAGTATCTCGACAATCACCGACGAGAAAGAGCGCGAGACATCCCTCACTTGAAATGCAAACTAGTGGAGGACCAGAAAATTAAATTCATCGAAAGTAGTTCATGAACCGACTGAGAACAAAGTCGTCGAAATTCTTGATAAACCAAAATTGAATAGAACTAGAATGAGATTACGAGTACTTGGACAACCACCGCCGAGAAAGAGAGCGAGAGATCACTCACTAGAAATACAGACTAGGGGAGGATCGGAAGCGGCAGAGCGTTGCAGAAGAACTGAGAGTCTGCAAAGTCGTTCGGAGCAGATGCATCTCCGTATTGCTGAAGAAATTAGCTGCAATAGACAGTTGAGAGGAAGAAGTTTCTTTAAAATGTCTCTCGTGCTTGGAGTCTCTATTTCCTTATTGAAAGAAATCGGTCACGGTTCCTCAAGATTGAACTTACAAGAAGGAAGAGGTCTTGAAGCGAATTAAACTCCATGGTAGAAGTTTTGGGAGAAGACTAGAAACAGACTCCCGCGCTCCTGCAAATAAACATGCACAACTGCTTCTAATTCAAAGAGTAGTTATGATTTTTAAGAACGCTCTGAGTTGGGCCCGGCTCGGCTCGGCTCGCTAACACAAGCAAAGTTTCCAATAGGGCCCACCCAACCAACTCTGATCACTGATGTTTACTGGCCTTTGATCCCAGATTCAGGTTCTTGCAAAGGCAATTAAACGCACGAGTGAAAAGAATGAGAAAAAAACTTAGAAAAAGGGAGGGGAAAGACAAGAAAGAACTACGAAAATTATATATATTTGAATAACCTTTCTTTCAAGTATTTTTTCCTTATTTCTTTTTAATTAATAATCACATATGTTCTACTTCTTATAATAGTTGAAATTGTCGTTCCTTTCTAAGGAGGAATACAGTGTCATTTATTTGGAACCATAGATGCGTACAAGTGATTTTTTTTTCATTTCATTTTACTTTGAGGCACAAGTTACTCATTAACGGAAGTAGTGGAAGTTTTTGTAGCATGTAAAAGAAAATATTTTATGTTTTTTTTAGTACAATACGTGGGATGGAGGATTGAACTCACCCCTTGATTGGAGATATATGTCAATTACTACTTAATTATGCTTGCTTTGACAAGAAAATATTTTATGTGAAAAGCTCCTTGTCGTCCTAGAGGCTGTTCTACTGATCTCCAAATTTCAGACCAGTCAGTTTGACCATGCAGGAGTGACAAATAGCTGGAAAAGGTATAGTGAAATCCGTTTGTAATACATACTACAGGCTTAAAAATGGATGTAAGCTATTACAAATTCATTCGGTAGCACCGAGCCTCCTACGACATGGCTTCGCATTCCTCCTATGCATTGCCCATCTTTCTTTAATATCAAGAATGCTATCTAATAAGTTGCTATCACACGTTCCCTGAGAAATATCAAGCTCATTGTTCAAAGTTTGACCTTTGGCATCTTCCCTTATCCTTTTGGCTTCAGCAAGCAGATCAAGAATGAGCATCTCAGTGGTCCTGGTGGTAATTCCGCGAAGATACCAGGAGATGGGCGGTGGTGGAACAATGGCTGGCTGGATCAGCTGTTCGAGGCTCACCCTTGACCCTATTCTTCCCTTGCCCTTTGTACAAGCATGATAATCTGTCAAATTCTTGGGTTTTACTGGAAAGCAGACGCTTTCATCAACAAATATAGGCTCTACTCTCCAGCAGCCTTCGAATTTCTTCATAAATCCAGTCTTCAGTTGCTTGAACTTCATCTAAAAATATTGAATCCATAATTGAATCAACAAGTTTTCTTTTCACTAATCTTTCATTGTTAGGCCGATGATCATCATTGAAGTCACAACAAAATATGACTGTAAAAAGCGCTACGGTCTAAACTGTATCCATGTGTTGGATGAAAAAGTTCAATTTGAGGCATTAATATCAAGTATTGAACTAGCAAGCATTCAAATAAGGAACTCCTGAAAGTAAATGGATATGCTATTTCACACTCATTAGGAAATGGAGAATTTGCTTTCTTCCTTTAAAATATCCTAGAAGTAGTCTGTATATTCTTAAGAACAAAAGAAATGTTAAGTGCTTACTGAGTGATCCGCTCTGTTTTGATCTACTAGAACATGAACTGAAATGGTCCCGGACCACCAAAGAAATCTCCACAAAGCTGCTTGCTCCACCTCAACCACTTGTCTCGAGCCTTCATCAATCAAAACCTTTCTGGATATCACCTCCTGAAACAGACATTAATCTTCTAAACTCAGAAGGTGATATAGTTATAACAAGATGCAGAACACTAACTGATGCCCATATTATATATATATATATATATATATATGCTTATCTGAGAAGACAGAAAACAGAGGATTTCTGATTGAAAATGTGTAGCTTACTTTAATATTCTTGAAAACTCTCTTGTTATCAGGGTCTGTCACGATATTATAGACAGCATCTGGTGGCAAACCAACATCAACCTTTGCATTGAGTCTGCTAAGGGTATCTTTCGGTACAGTTACCTGCAAAGAGTCTCATTTAAACCTGACCAACCTCAGTATCCTGTGAGAAAATGGTTGATACTGGCATCTAATGCATTTGTTACTAACCACCACTTACAATCAATCTTCTAGCTTAAGTTTTCAGAATTATTTACGAGCCAACTGCATATGCATGCAATCAACTTAAAGCCAAATACAGAAACCATGTGTTTACTTACCATTAAAATTTGAGATGAACTTCATTTTATTCTTCCATCAATGATATGTTCCAGATTTGACCTTTTTATTTCTGTTTTAACTATGTCCTTAAACTTTTACTTCTTTACATTTTAAACCTGTTTGTCACATCAATCACATTTATGTTGAAACTAGGCACATGACATGCAACAGAATTTCACTCACTCACGTGATTTTAGACCATGAATTCAATAATTTAAATTGTAAAAAAAAAGCCATACTTAAAAAATGAATCAAATATCCTTCTTCAAATGAAATTAAAAAATGCTCTATGGCTAAGAATCCAAATCAATAGCTTAAATGACAAAGGCAGAAATTTAGTTGCAAGAGAATTCATCCTTAATGACTCAAATGCATACAAATAATATCAAAGGCTTAACCTTCAAAATTAAATAAAGATGAAAGGCCCCGGAGTGCATTTCAAAATTACAACTGAAAGGATGACATTTTAAGGGAGAAAATATTGTTCTCCCTTAAATTTTAAAAACTGAGTTGTTAGGTAATGCTCTATTTAATGAAATCCTAACTGAAGCAGATAAAGAGCTTGGAAGAGTAAATTCCATTCCCCTCCCCATGTCAACTTCAGATTCACAATACATAACACATAACACTTGATCGACAATGCACTTCATGAATACATTGGAGGGGGAAAGGGACCCTTGCAAGACCATATTCTTTTCTTACAACTGCAAGTTCAGAAAAGGATAACCAATTTTCCGAACATCAGGTCTATAATGGAAAGCATATCCTTCTAGTTCTATCTTTATATTGCGCACCTTTATTTGTGGAGGTTTGTCAGTCCATGAAGGGTTCTCTCTCCATGCCTGCAGTTGCTTCTCCACATCAAGCTTCAAGGATGATGTGGAAGATCCCTTCCTCTCCCCTTTTGCGAATGGACTCATTGACGTCAATTTCTGACCTTCATTTGCCAATCTATTAAGCTGTGGCTGCGACCAAAAAAAAAAAAAAAAAGAAATAAATAAATAAAAACAAACAGAGGGAGAGAGTGAACTTCCTATAATAGATTTGAAGTGTATTGCTCCTTTTGTTACATGGCCACCTTTATATAGAAGTATTTTGTTAAATACATACATACATATATATATAAAAGAGTCTAAAATTTCCAGATTGCATTTCAATTTAAAAGGTAACTAATCATAACAACAAAATGTTCATTATCTTATCATTTCTGTCCAACATCCACACAAAAACTTTAAACATTTTTGTTTCAATTTTATTTCTTATACTTGTTTGCAAACAGAAGTTTATTTAATATCATAAAGATAACTAACCAACCTTCAGAGAATTTTGAACTTTCTGAGAAAGCTGCGCAAGGAAATTGGATATTGCAGGATTAAATGCTTCTAGAACATCGTTCCTCTCATTCTGGGCGATGGATATACTTGTTTTTGTCATCACTGGCTCTCTAATAAGATCCTAGAGCACACCTGATTCCAGATAAATTTGATGTACCAACTCCCTGATTTAGCTTCACTCTTCCACTCTGGAATTCCCAAACTTGAATTTATATGGCTCTCGGTCTTCTAGACTAAAGTTTCCCAATTCGAAGGTCCGTGGCATTCACTTTATTCCAACAGAATTCGAGATTCCTAAAATTTTGCAGAGGAGACTTGGTATTGGTGAACTAGGTACTGAACTACAAAAAAACGAATTACAAATTTGTGATTCAGCTAAGCTTGTCGGTTACCCGACTTGAAGCAAGAATGAGAGGCGAAAAATGGCCACAATTTTATCATAACTGAGTCAGCTTAAAGGAATGACAGGCTAAACCCAACCACAGAATCAACGATTAGAAAGCAGGAAGAAACAGAAGTCGACGATGACGAAGGCTTGCACTCTTCTAAGTATGCACCAAAAGGGGACGAAGAAACAAAAGCGAAAATCGAGATATTCGCTCGGTACTATTTGGACAACGAATTTGAATTGAGGAATTTACTCAGTAAAAGTGACAGTAAAGAACATTCATTCTACCAGCGAGGCTCAAAACTGAGCTCGAATCTCTAAATCACATTCAGCTGAATCAACCTTTCCTCGAAAGTCTGAGCGAGTGCATCTCGTTGTGGGAGAGAATACGAGAACAAGCTATCCCTGAAATACTGTTCTAAGTAAGTACGGTCAGATAAGAACGCGACTTGTACATAAGAACGTATTTAAGTCGGACACGTCTTACCTATTTTATTGTTAATTAACAGTCTTAACATTTTTCTAGAGAGCTGTTAACGTTGTCAGGATTGCTTAGACTCATTTTTAATCTTATTGTGCTTTAATCTCTCGGTTCCTCTTAAATTTTCTGAGAATTTATAAAACAGCGATATTACCTATTTTATTGTTAATTAACAGTCTTAATATTCTTCTAGAGAGATGTTAACATTGGCTGGAATTGCTTAGGCTCATTTTTAAGGGGCAACTTGAGATATGGCAGCAAAATAGTAACAAGACAACATAAACCAATACCAAAAGTGTTGTCTTTGGAAAAATGGAAAGCTTTAAAGATAGTATCTCCGAAAACACGACAATCACCAAGAACTTGATGTCTCAGACTTTTACCTAAAGATTATACAAGAATGAAACTTACGCTTTTCTAGACTGTTGAAACTTATGCTTCTTCTTTTATAGAATTTTAAGAATGACATTGTTAGTCTACTTTTGGTTTATGCTACTGGTTCGTTTTGATGTTTAAACCTTTAAGTTTTCGGTTGAAGGCGTTTGCTGCTGATTTGATGATGATGTTAATACCCAAAAATGATATTTAAACCTTTTAAGAATGACATTGTTGCTGCTTTCATTTTGATCTTTAAAACTTTAAATAAAACTTAATTGTACTATTGATATATGTACAATGTATACTTGATATATCACTGATATATTATTGATATACAGAAAAACCCTAAGTGATGTCTTCTCTGGCAATAGCCAATCAAGAAGCCAAAGCAGGAGCCAAGCCAGCACAGATGTGTATAAGAGACAGGTATAACATAGATGTCTTCTCTGGCAATAGCCAATCAAGAAGCCAAAGCAGGAGCCAAGCCAGCACACCGGGCGAGGAATCCCTTACTTGTTCGGCTGGCGGATGCAGTATAGTACGAGAATGTATAAGCCAAGTTCGGTACACCAAGCCGTTACACAAATCTCTTTGTTTCAAATAGGTTATCCCATATCAGCCGGCCAATCAACAAAGATCTGAAGAATGACCGACCCGTTTTTGAGCCTACGAAAGGAAATTCCATTAGAACATATAACAAAGGCGTGAATGGGAGAATACGATACCATAAGGAGGAATTCCTCGTTCTTCATGACTACCCGAAGGAGGAGGTATATGGCAATAGCCAAGTTTACGATAAAAGAATAGGACAAAGGTCTATATTCAAGTCAGAAATCTCGGTAGCAAGCCTCTCATTCATAGTAATTTCAAAAATCATCATTGACATTCACATTCATGTTCCTTTCAAGTTTTCTTTCTCATTTTTAGTAAGTATCAAATTTTTTTCTCATTTTTCATGCATGCCAATACCTACTAATTTCTAATTGATCAAAAAAATAGAAGACAAATGGTTAAAACAGGTAAAATAGTGATTTACTATTATACAACTGATATAGAACTGATTGAGATATACTATTGATTTACTTCTGATATATACACTCCTGATATATATGTGATATAACGATAACTGAAAAGGATAATTTGGGAATACTGAAAATTTTAAAATCAGGATTTTCAAAAAAAATGTTATATCTGAAAATATTTAAATATAAAAAACTTATATGCTACCCATTACAAATCCCTCATTTTAAATCTGATGGTACTTTAAAGGCATGCTATTTTATTGTTAATTAACATATACTTTTTCTTTTAGAAAATTAAGAATTATGAACTTACCTATTAAGTTAATTAAAATTTACTAATAGATAAGTTCATAAAATTATTAATTTTTTTAATAGTTCATAAAATTAAATGTTTTTTTCAGGAAGTTAAAATTATATGTTATACGTTACTTCCATAGAAATTGAAAATATTAATTAAAGCATGTTGAATATAGAAAATCTTGAATTTATCTAAAAGAAAAGCAGGCTGAATATAGAAAATCTTGAGTTTATGACGATTTTGAGAAATTAAAATAAACATTAACATTTAAGGACTAGATTAGAAACAAGTCAATCTTTGATCATCAGGACTATATTTACCTTTTTATCTTTTTGTTCTTTTTCCAAAAAAAGGAAAAAAAAAATAATAAGAATCGTATATCCCATGGCACAAACCCCATCCATCAGGACTGGGAGGCAAGCGAACTACATAATTCAAAGTGCATTTATTTTAGATGACTACAAGTATATATATATTTTATAATTTTATAGCAAGTATTTTATAAAAATTAAATTAATTTAAAAATACTTCATTAATGAAATCCCATAGAGACGATTATCTAAAATGTGATTGACACTATAGTATTTTAAACAAATTTTTTTAGTAAAATTGTGGGATGGAAGATTGAACCCTTTAAAAAAAATAAAATATCTTAACTACTGAGTTATGCTCGATTTGTATTTTAAAAGCATTTAAACACTTAGATAATATATATACACATTAAAAAAGTTAAAAGTAAAAAGTATACCAAAGTGACCATCATAACCGGATTAAATGCAAAACCCACCAAACTACAAATAAACATTTTCATGCTGTAAAGGGATGCTAGATTTCAGTGTACCAGGTAGTATCATGTAAACTACCAAAGATAAAAATAGAATAAAATAGTTCGATAACTACTTTCATGTGTGTGTAAAGATCAAACATCTACGGAGTTTTTCTCCACCATGTAAAACATAAACCAGTTTGAATCACAGATAAATTACAAAGGTTTACTCACGTTTTACTTTTGATTCAATGTCCATATCCCATGGCGCTTAAAAAATTCTCTGAATCCATAGGCACTGAGGTCATAGTTGAACTGGATAAAAGAAAATAAACATATCAATAAGAGGGAAACATAGGTCTGCAGAAGCTTAGCTTTCTGCGTCGAGAACTAGAATCAAATTCTGGTAGAGGAGACCTTCATTTGGCTTTATTTTGCCCAAATGCCACAGTTATTCTAAAATATTAACATTAACTTTTAATAGGAAAATAGTACAAGTATAAACTAATGTTAAATTTTCTGTGTTCCTAAAAAAAATAAGCAATGGTGAACAGTGTTTTTCTCAGACCTAAAAAGGATCAATACTCTGCAAAATACGTTCCTAAAAAGACATTCAAATCAAGAGTAAAATTCTTGACACGTTAACTTCGTTTTATGTTGCTGGGATGGAATGGATGATGAGGAGATATTGAGAAGAATGAAGGAGGATGATGACCTTACTTGAAAGGACGAGCAATGAAAAATTAATTGATCAATTGACTTTGCTTCAATTTACTAAGCTTGAAAACTTACGGGTAAAACTTTCACCGAGTACTTCGTAATGCTAGGATCAGCAATCTTTCCTTGGTTAGATGCCTGCACAGAAATTATTGAATTCGAATAACTAATAAACAGACTCAGAACAAAAAAGGTAAAACAACGTAACCACATCTTCTTCCAAGATATAGATTAGTATGAAGGTTACTGGATCAAAGGCCTCTCAACATTTCTCTTACGTTTTCCAACACAAAAAAGTTTGTGTTCACTGATTGTTTCTCTAACTATCTCATTCCAATGCTTGCAAAAAATGAAATGCAATCACAGTAATGTTGGATTAAAGCCACCTATCCTGAATCAAAGCGGTAAACCCGAAATACAAACATGAATAGAATGTTCTATAATTACTTCTTCGTTACTTTATATATATATATATAACTGATAGTCGGAGTTGTGCTCCCCTATACTGAGGGGCACCCGTGTCCGCCCCAAAGCCTGGATCCGGGAGACATCAAGGGTTTTTAGTATTAAGCTTACTAGAAGGTTCGATATGACCAAGAGACTCTAAGCTCTTGCCAACTGGGCTTGCCCCTCGGGGGCTACTTATTCATTACTTTTACCGTACAACTGTGTCCTTTGCACCAAATGCAAAAGGATCATAAATCAATAACCATCGAGGCAAAGAAGAAAAATGATTACCTATACATTATGTTATCACATTTTATTACCAACTAATGTTCAAGATAAATTGTATACAGCCAACGAGAGCAAATGAGCTTATTTTCCAAGAAATCAAGAACAGGAATCAATATCATATACGGGAAATCAGAGGAGACTAAAAACTTAAATAGATAGGCAGTTCCTACTTGTTGTGGACTATGAAACATCTCGATAAATGGATATTCTTTTCTCTGCCGTGAAATGCAGAAACCAGGATACTTTGGGCACTCAACCTGTAATTTTCAACATGAGATCGAAGTCAGAAGAAAGTAAACCCAAAAAATGCAGTGGCTTATTACTATTTTGCCCATTGGTCTAAACTAATGACCAAGGCCCTGAATCACAGAAACAATTGGAAACACGATCATTTCAATGAAATCAAGGAAACATCTTGTGGAATACGAAAATGTTTTCTTAGAGAAGACTGCAAGACTAAGGCACCTGTGTGGATATATTGTAATGAGAAACACTTGCAGGTTCTCAAGAAGATGTTTTCGGAAATATAAAAAAAATCTATTTTTAAGACAACAGTATTGTAGAAAGTATTTGGATAGATATATTTTCAAAAAAAGAAAAAATAAATAAATCAAACAGCCCCCCCAAAAGGACAGAAAGAAACATTCCACCAGAGACGGGGGAGGCGGCAGTGTTTGAGACGTACAGCCAGACACAAGCTGCTCTTGGACATGTCAGCAAGCAAAATAGAGTGCAGAATTCTTTTTTGATTATTATTTTAAACTCAGAAATTAAATATATAAGTAAACAAATAATGAAAAAATGGAAATGTGATTAACTATAAGAAAATTAAAAACAAACATTATAGAAGTTTTATAGCTTCGGAAGAGAGGAATTGTTGAAGATGAGGAAAGGAAAACGTCAATAAATCATGACTTACACGCATAAATTTCACATTTGGATAAAACTCAACTGCCGCTTCCTCCAATACTTTGTCAAGATGCTTTGTGTAGTTACCTCTATAGAATTAAACGTGATCAGTTGAACCTAGAGAGCAAAAGAAAGATTATTGGTAATACACACAATATTCACATACCTGACAGTAAAAGCAACAACCACTGGATAACCTTCATGAAGGAGCTGGACAAACTCACGTTCAGATGTAAAATGTATGACTCTAGAAGGCCCAAGATCTTTCGGGTAACCAGTATAATACCTATAACAGGTACAAGGATATGGAATAAGCAAAAACTGTGAAAAATAAGACTACACAGAGTCATAACAGACAAAAGTAGAATGCAATTTTGAAGGAAACTCAATCATGAATATGCACCTTTGGCCATCATGATACACAACAACAACAAAACTCCCTCTCGCTTAAAATTAACAAAAATGCTGATCTTCATTTAACATATGGACATGGGGTTGAAACTAATAGATTAAGCAATACAAAATTAAAATGAATAAATATAGGAGAATACGGAATCCAGAATTCAACTTATCAAATAAAATAAAGCGATTGTTGGGGTGAAAAAATAAAAACCAGTGCCTACCTGAGATTCTAATAGATTAGTGTTCAAAAGTGGAACCCAAAATGTTAAGGATAAATGAGGAAAACCATAAACTTAACAGGACTTGCAAAAGGAATGCAGCGTAAGTGAATATACACAAGCTTAACCTAAGGAAGATGGATATAACTTATAAGATTAGTCCAGAACATTAGAATGAGAGGTGATTTAGAAGTACGAAGGCAACTTGGTATGACTTTTATCACAATGGGGTGGATAGCCTGGAGGGAAAATAGCAAGTTTATAACATGGTGTCACGTCATAAGAAGGATAGTAGCAAAATGGTGGATGAAGCAATCGACAAAGGAGCAAAAATAGCTTATCTGAAGGGAGTGGTTGGATGCAGTTGAAAACGGGGTTACGTCCACTCTAGTAGAAAGTAATTTCCAGTGAGTTATAGAAGCAATAACTGCTACAGGAGGAAAAATGAAGTAGTGTGAAGTTAACAGAGGGCTTGTTCTATCACATTTCTAATATCAGGGATCAGAGTTAAAAAGACCATCTATTTAAGAAGGAAAAAAAAAATTCCTCCTCTCTTCTCCCTAACCCGCCCCCAAATAAAGATAGTAATAACATCACATACTTGCACGTCGCACGAAGATGACTGATCATTCTATCAAAAATTGTTGGTTCTCCCATTTAATCAAATCGTGCGGAAAATCAACTTTTCAATGTCCTGAAAAACGTCAAAAGATACATTCGTCACTTTATGAAAGCTTGTGGATTAGACAGAAGCCTAGTATGGAAAGCAGAGGAAAACAAACAAATAAAACCTTATATTCAAATTAAACTATCCAAGCCCATTGTTGTCAAAAACGGACGATACGCGATACGTATCGTACGATCCAGAACGAAACGAAGGGTAAACGATTCAAACGTATTTTG